TGTCTATGCCATAACCAGCTTTCTTCTGAGTGAGCTTTTGTAAGCAGGCAAATGGCAGGCTTTCCTCGTATCGGGTTTAGATTCAGTGGATACATTTCACCCTTTCGTTGTGATTTCAGAAGAACAGTATTGGATTTCTTTTCAATGATTTCTGATCCTTCGTCATCAAATGACACTTTCAATCTGGTTCCTACAACCAACTGTGAGACACTGATTAGGTTGTGCTGCAAGCCTTCAACATAAGCCACTTTATGAATAGAGAATTCCCCATTCGTTATCATGTTGTAGCCTTTTATTCTGCCAGAAGAATTATTCCCGTATTTTACGTTACCGCCATCCTTGAGAGCCCTGAACTCTCGTAGTTCCTCCTTTCTTCCTGTCATGTGACGTGAATAGCCACTGTCGATGTACCATTCAGTGTCGAACTGTTCCTCACGAATAACCTGCAAAGTTTAAGCAGATTTAGGTACCCAAAGTTTCTTGGGTCCTTGTAAGCCTTTCACAGAACTAGGAAAAGTAATATCAAGATCAACCATATATGTTCGTTATATAAGAGTGGTTTCATCTTTTCGTTTGATGGTGAAAACTTTGATTTTGTTATCTTTTGCGTTAGTATCTTTAAAATTAGAAGTTATATTCTTGTTATCAGCTTGATTCTTGACGGGCTTCTTTTCAGCTTCCTTAGGGTTAACATTTGTTTTATTAGTTGGAGCTTTCGGCTCCGAAAAAAGCTTTTCCTTGCCTTTGATGTTATTAGTCGTAGACTTCGTAGATTGAGAGTGACAAGGCTTTGGTATTTCCATTTGTCGTTTTGTGAAGAAGGGTTTTGGAGTGCTTCTTTGCTGAGAGTCCCTTGGACTATGAGAACAACAATGCGAACACTGATTGGAGTTCACTTGCGAAGGAGCTTTCTCTTTCTGATTCATTCTCCTTTCGTAGCAAACATAATCTGAATTTTGGGATTGCCAAATTTCTTTCCTTTCATTGAGATTTCTTCTATATCTGTCATTCCTTTTGTCGTTTTTGATCAGCAAGTTGCTTTGATGACTTATGGATGTTCACCTTAGGATTCGCTTTTCTCACTTCGGGTTCGCTCTTCAAGGGGTTAGGTTCGCTGTGAACCTCCTTGGTACCACTTGGGCTACCTTTTGCAAATGCTGAGCCATTATTTAAGGGTTCAGCCACGTATCTCCCTTTGACTTTCCAAGAAGTTCTTTCAGATAAACCAACGGTTTCGTCAGCATTATCTATGGGGGCTGACCAGAAGAGTTTATCACATCCGTCCTTGTTGTCTTCGTCGACAATGGTCTTTAGCTCGACGGTTTGATTTTCGGTTACCTCATTGACTTTAAAAACTTGATTGGGCGTTGTATGAACTTTTGTAAAAACAGTTGCTTTTTCTTTCAAAATTTCAGGTTTGTTTTGAACAACTCTTGCGAACTCAACAAGATTTTCAGAAATAAGAGCTTTCGCAGGTTGAGATTCATTTTTAACAAACGCTGAGCAGTCAACCTCATCCTCTACAGAAATGTCACTCATATCACTATCCTCATAGAATTCAGAAGTGCTTTCAACATTTATTTTATTTTCTGAACTCAAATTGGCATTCAATGAATCAAATTTTTGCACAGTATCATATTTGATCTGCTTTTTATCATTTTCATCCAGAAGTTGTTTCAACATGTTTTTGTGGTCCTTTGACTTAATGTAATTTTCAATACGTTCAAGTCCAACTTTGTATGCATCAGAAGTTTCTTCAGACGAAACAATAGATTCACAATTGTAGCAGTATGCGTCTATTTCGGCTTCCTTTAATTCGAGAAATGGCAAAATCATTTTATGGATTTTCTTACCGATTTCACAATCAAGGTGCAGTTAAGTAATATTAAAGTAAAGCCTTTTTGCAATTAAACAAAAAATGTTTCGCTGTTTTAAAAGCATTAAATTATCTCTCTGCAAATAAATAGATTCGTCCCTAGACTTAGACAAATCCAACTCAACCTTCTGGATCCACATACGCCTCTCCTCACTCTTGGATGTTGCCCTGCTCAATTGATCGGTTAGGTTAGAGTTTGATAGTCGGGTTCGCTTTAAACTATCGCTTATACTTGAAAAGGTGAATTTTAGATCGTTAAGTTCTGTTTCGTATCTAGATACAGGAATATTAAGAGATTCAAGAATGGAATTTACCTTATTGATCAGCTGTTCGCGTTCGTTGATCTGTTCTAGAACAGGCCTTGCCGCGAAACAGCTATCTTCGCTTCTTCCACTCTCACTTGCATTCTCCTGCATCTGTGATCCGCCTTCAGTCACCATCAAGCATCTTCCTGAGTACTGCGAATTCTGTTCTTTTGCAACAAACGCCCTTCCATGTCTGGGCTTGCGTACTTCTTCATCCTCTGAGTCTGTTGACCAGACTTCCAATCCTCTGAACTCACCTTGAGCCAAGTTTTCATGTACAACAAAAGCAGGCATAGAATTATCATTATATTTTCCAGCTTTCGCATGTGATAGGCCTCCTCATCCTCTCCTTCATTCTTCTCATTCTTCCTTCGCAACATGCACTCCTTTGCAAGATGGTTTTTACCATGACAATAATTGCAATCGTATCCGGAGTCACCAACTACCTTTTTCTCCTTCTTCTCTTCCTCTTTCTGAGATCCACTTTTGTTCTCCTCTTTCACTTTCTCTGAGCTATAGCTTCCCTGCCAGTTCCTATTTTTGCTTGAGGGAAACTTCTTCCTAGAAAATCGCTTAGGGTTAGACACCATTAAAGCAAAATCTTCGTTTGAGAGCTCGTACTCAGAATGATCTGAATCAGATCCATCATCAACAACAGTCTTGCCTTTCGCAACTAAGTCTAAAGACCCCATCCCAGACACCACCTTTGCTTCTTTCATTACTTCACTCTCTCGCGCCTTCAGAATTCCTACAAGCCTCGCAAGAGTATAGTTCTTGAACTGTTCGTGTGCTTTAACAGTTGACACCACTGCCTTCCACTCTGATCGCAATCCGTTCATGAACGTGACCTTTTGCTCAATCACCTAACGTCCAATCCCGTGCTTCATCATCTTACTGAGAATATGATTATATCGATTGAAAGTGGCACTCAAAGTTTCTTCAGGCTTTTGAACAAACTCGCCAAACTCGGATAACAAGAGCATTTGAGTCGAGTGTTCTAGATCTGCGTCTGTGGAATAGAGCTCTCTCAACCTATCCCATATAGCCTTCGTTGTGTCACATGAACTTACAAGACGAAAAGTATCTACTTGAAAAGCGAATCTGATGATCCTCATTGCTTTAATGTTGCTTAAGAGTTTGTCTTTTTCGTCTTGAGGCACGTCCTTCACGTCAAGACGCAGTTGGTTGTATTATTTCTGGGTTTTGATTGTTCTTTTGGTCTCTGTGTGAACAAACGGACCTAGAGTGATTGCTTCCCAAATCAGATAACCATTATCTTCTGAACCTAAAACATAATCTTCAAAGTGCATTTCCCGGACTTCATATTCTTGAGGAAAAAGAATCGGGATTTTGGTTGTTGATCCGATGTTGTTTGAGATGTTCAAGGAGTTGATGTTTGAATCGTCGTTTTGCATGGTGAAAAATCTTTTAATACCTGCAATTAATCAGACTGTAAACACTTATTAGGTTAATATCGAGATCACAGAGTTACGTCAATAGATCAGTGACGGCTCTTAACAAATCCAATATTTGCGGAAACCCTAATAATTTCTTCAAACATAAGAGATGTGTATTAAGTACACGGTCTCCTGCTCTGATACCAATTGATAGGTATAAATCCTTAATGATCGAATAGATTAAAAGCAGGTAAACAAGAATAGAATATGATCAAACTGGTGCTGAATGATTAACAGTCACGCCTCAGAAGAACTCAATGAAGAATTGCTTCTGTAGAGGCGTAAAATAGGGTTACAAAGATAATTCTTAGAGTTGTCTAAAATATGTAGCATGCATGCAGCATAAATACTATAACCCTAGCAGCAAATACGAGTGGACAAGCCCAACGCGTTTATACAAAATGGACTAGACAAAACAGGCCCAATGACGCAACACTAAATCTTCAACACGTATGTAAGCAATGAGTGAGTGGAGCATATTTTGGAGTTGTTGGTTGTTCATCTTTTAGGTTTTTGTCTTGAGATAAGTAATATGGTTATTGTACGTGTTTCAGATGTTGGGTTTTTTATAGAACTTACTAAAGGAGCAGGGGGAGGGGACTGCGTGGCATTGCTGTTATAGTAGGTTAGATAAGTCATTGTATGGAATTTTATTTAGGATATGAGGTGTCCTATTTTGGTGGTCTTAGTAATGCAGGCTATATTTGCCTATACTAGATATGGTCTAAAAGAAGGATGAAGACGGTGTCCAGAATGTGGAGATTTCTTTTTATTTGTTTTTTTAATTATGTATATATAATGTTAGTAGGCAGGTGCTTGGATAGTATTGAATGTTGTTCTTCTTATTTTTTTAATAATAACTACTTTGGAACCAATTAGATTTTTGTTTGCTGAAATATGTGTTACTGTTAATTTTTTTTAATGGCTTCCATTTTTTAGTATAAGCAAGGATGGTAGCTATTACTTTTTAGACAATGAGTTTATGTTAGTGTGTGTATTTGTTGTTGTGTTTTTCTTTAAAAGGTCGGTATGTTGCAGTGGATAATGTTTTTGTACTCATATATGCATGGTAAGTTTTGTAAGGGAATAGTACATGTGCGATATTGTTGTGATTTTTTTTAATAGCCTAATATTTTATAGAATTCAGTGTTTTGCTAGTGATATATTCATGGTAATTTTGTAAGGCAATATTACATATGCAAAAGATGATATAGTTTTTAACTTAGTAGGAATAGTAGTTAAACAAAGGGTTGGTACTACAGAGGTAATAGGGGGTGGAAATAAACAAAGAGTTGGCAGTATAGAGCTGTTGCACAAATCCATTGTTTTTATTGCGACCGGCGTGGTCGTTTCAGGCCTTTATCAGATTTGTCCATACCTGTGATTCAATGTAAACAATCAGTTAATTTTTTTTTGGGTATACTTGTTTAATGTGTAATGAGTATTAACTGGATTTTCAAAAGCAATGCCAACCTGACTTTGGGGTGATCTTGTCTCGGTGAAGACGTAGGTGTTTTATGAGGAATACTGGAGGAGGATGTGTTTTGAGGAGGTGGGGTTGTTATTGATGATGATTCAGAAGAGTTGTCTTCAATATCAATTATTATGAAACGGATGTTCCTTTCATTTGACGTGTTTGTGATCCGTAATTTTATCTTTTTCATGATACCCTTGGTCTCTTTTATGATGGTGTGCATTTTTTTCCTGTGGTTTGGGTCGTCCTCTACTATTAGTTTATTTGTTGTTGTTCCAAATATTTTTTGGGCAACATTGTCAGATAAGGTAACCGTCATTGAGCAACTTGGGTCTATAATTGTTGCCATAAGCTTGTAGCTGTGTGGGTGAGTGATATGAGTTCATAGAAAGTGTTTATATATGTCAATATTTGTTTTGAAGGTGTTGTCACTTACATGGGAGTTGGAGAGATGACGGTTCCGTGTGATGGACAGAACCAGTCCTTTCCTTGTATCAGTGTTGATATCTTGCAATGTGGACAGAAAACTTGGTACCAATAGTCTGAAAGAAGGTACTCTATTATGGATGTCTCCGCAGTGAAAGTTTTTTCCTGTTAAAGAATGACAAGTCTATAATATATATGATAATATCGATAAAGGAAATGTAGTAAGAACATTGGCGGAGTATGAGTGTACCAAGAGATCTAAGTGTTTTTTCTCATTTATCTGTGTAAGTGGCATCAGAGGTCCAAATAGAGGTGTTGAAGCAGTATTTATCTTGTAGCTGTCATTTTTAGAGATTGTTAGTATAGATGCAAACGTGATTAAAATATATTGTTTTTATGATAGTACCTGTCCAGAAGTGTATCTGTTTCTTTGATGGGTGGATTTACGTATACGTGGGTTGCACTACTGGTTCCTAACCTTAACGAACCTTCAAATGAAGTATTTGTAATTATTTTAGATTTTTGCTTTTATTGGTAGTTGCACCAGCAATAATGTATATTGGTCTTTCGTTAAACATACCATCATAATCCATGATTCGAACGTTTGTGACAGTAATTACAGTGGGAGCAGGTGCATTCTCGATTGCGTATCGATTAAATTTTGAAGGTGCGTCAGTGCATTCTTTCCACAAGCTTATCGCAATATCTTCACCACTGTTGTTTGTATGTTTTAAGTATAGTAATTAGTGTATAGGTATGTTTTCAAAAGCTGCAATACTTATGATTCATTTCTTAGAATGAGGAGCAGGTAAGGCTTATCGTTTTTCTTAGTGCAGGCCACCAGTTTGACGAAAACTCCTAAGAAATCTGCATAATAAATGACAACTAATATGTTTACATACATGTTATGTAATAGGTATGTACGACAAAATGATATTGAAAGTAGTTTGTAAAAGAGCATGTATTGTTATATCAACATTTTGTGGTCCATTTTTGTAAGCTAATACCTGGGTATTGGTTGATATAGTCTAGTATTTGGCTTTTTGGTATGAAGTTAAACCAGTGTGTTGGAATAGTAAATGTGTCTGGGATAGAGGTGATAGAGGAAGTCGTGCCAACAACAATGTATATCGGATTGTTTAACCATTTCTGGTATTGGTCTGGTTCTCCACATCCATATTTTGTTAGTGTGTAGCATTTGGAAAGAGCAAGAGCATATTGTACAAATCCTTGATCCTTTCTTTGGCCAAGAATTTGGATTGCATCACCCTGATATATTAATATGAGCCAGGTGGAAGTGAGTACATGCATTGAATAGATGAATATTAATAAGATGGTTCAGAAACTTACATATTTGTCAACTGCTAAAAACCATGTTTCATGAGCCCGTACTTGTGGTGTCCATGTACGGAGAATGCGTACCTGCAAGGCTGTTCCTGGGGACGCATACCCCAGTTCTGAGATTGCAGTAAATATTTCAGACATGTGGCTGACACAAGGTTTGAGATAAAAACTGGAAATTAGACGTTTTTGTGCAAGGAAATTTGTGTATGTTTAGAGATGGAATATGATATGATCAGTGTATATATACGATACAAGACTTAGAAAACAGGTATGGATTGCAATATGTTGTATAAGAAAATATATTCATATTTTACTGGTTATTGCAATACGAAAAGGCAATAAGAATGTGGTGTCACATGATTTCTGTTTACAAAATATGGATATGTATTTGACCTCATAAACAATAATTGTGCGCAAGAAATCTTTGAAGATGACATTTTTTGTTCTGCTATGTGCATCACTAGCATCAGAGTGTATCGGTAGTTTAATAGACTGTGGAGACGTAGCACGAGAGAGGGCAACATAAAGTTGTCCATGTGTGAAAACTGGTTCTGGCAAAAAAACTCCGATTTTTTATAGTGATTGACCTTGACTTTTGTTAATTGTCATGGCATAACAGACCTTCACTGGAAATTGCTTTCTAATGAAGGTAAAAGGGATTTTAGGGCTTTTGTGTATAAATTTTATTCGAGGCACGTACACTTGTTTTACGATGGATGTGCCAGTAATTATTGTTGCCTCTATCACGTTTGGCAATAACTGTGAAACAATCAATCGTGTATCGTTGCATAAACCTTCTCTTTGGTTAATATTTCTTATTAGCATAATAGGAGTGTTAATTTTAAGTGATAGCAGGAAAGGTGAGGCCATTTAGGTATTCCACTGGATAGAAAGTGTTAAATTTTGAGGATTGGTTTCCATTAGATTCTATTGTGTCAATACTCCTATAAGATGTTGTCTCGTTAGGGGTAAGTTGTAGGACAAGCTCGTTTATTATGTGTGTTGTATCGTTCTTTGGACATACAATCGCCCTACCTGCCAATATAGATGGAGAAGGATTGAGAAGAATCCCGTCACCATATACAAAATTTATAAGATTTTGCAACACGTTTTCTCCTGGTGATATAGTAAGGGAAAAGGGTATTTCAATCCATTTTGTGTCTTTTCTATCAATAGGATCTGAGTCTCCTAAAACACCATCTCCAACGTTTAGTAACCACGTTGCAAATTCTGATACAGATAGCCCTAACCCTGATTCTGAATAGGTGCTTGTATTCATAAGACGCATATTAAGGTTTAGCTTATAAACTGTAAAACATGGCCACAGGTATGATTTGGGTAAAGTCAAACTAATGATGTGTGAGACTGTACTTTTTGGGGAAACAGGTAATGTTTGACGAAAATCACCTCCTAACAGTACGGACATTCCACCAAACACATTAGCTTCACAATCTAGAATATCTCTTAGAGAACGGTCCAGGCATTCAAAACAACTCTGTCATTCATTGGGGGCTCATCCCAGATAATGATAGACGTACGTTTCAATAACTCTGCAAGTAAGGTTTTCTTTGAAATGTTGCATGTGGCTTTTTGTGAAAAGTCAATCGGTATACTAAACCTGGAATGAGCAGTTCTACCTAATGGTAGCAACAATGATGCTATGCCCGAGGCAGCCACAACAAGTGCAATTTTCCCAATAGAGTGGAAGTATGCAAGTAATGTAGTCCAAAGAAATGTCTTGCATGTTCCGCCGTGTCCGTAAATAAACAAGAGAACCTATTTTTCGTATTTTTCAGATGAAACAACTAACTTATAAATGTGGAGTTGTTCACTATTTAATTGTGATAACATGCGTTGGTGGTCTGTTTTGAGTGTTTTTGTATCATATGACGTCTCTTCTAGAAGCAGTCGATTTTGCAGCAATCTAATTGTCTCTTCCGTTGGTTTCGGCAAATGGAAGTCAGTGACCGATTTGGAAGGAGTTGAGGACTGAAGTATTCCTTCCAACTCAAAAAGAACCAGTTGTTGTAAATGAGCATCACTTATATGTAAATTCGATCCGAAATTCTGTAAATTGAAGTTATACAGCAAGTCGTCACTCATTTTTATCCATCCAATTTCCCACATGGACATAGGATCGCTAACATCACAGTGAAGAAGCAAGCGACAGATGAGTGATCTTAGTTGGAATGAAGTTGCCCATTCAGATACTTCAGTAAATGCGGTCATCCATTCTTTGTCTTCTCTAATCAGGCCCAACGCATCACACGCATCACGAAAATTTGGATAGACCTTTTTGTAAACGGTACGGACATCCTCATAAGATGTGCAACCAAGCTGATGACAAAGCAACATTCGCAGATAGAACAATTCTCCTGCAGAAGGATGCACAAATATAAGTCAACTTATCGCACTGCTTGTCACATGTTTTCTTCGTTTCCACATTTTTGCTTGCTTATCCCACCAATACTTTGAGGGAAACGCAACATAGATCAGATCTGTTCCTGATGAATACCACCTATTATTTTCAAACCATCCTAATAGTAGATAGTAACCGAAAGTTGGATGTTCAGCAACATCACGGATGTGAGTGTTTTCTTTGAAGTAAACTGTCTGCTTATTTGGTAGATGAACTGGGAGTATTGTGACAGATGGTTCCCGCTCATGAATGGGAAAATCAAAAATACGCCAAGCAGCCTCATGAGGGCAAAGGTAAAGACCGTCAACAAATTTTGTATTTCATCAACAACAACATGTTGCGAAGAGGTGGTACATTGACCAACCGGCACATTTTTCTGAACAACAAACTTCACCCGTTTTATTCCTTTCGAAAAATATTTGAACAAATATTTTATCATCATATTCCAACCACAGTACTCCACATTAATATGCGTGTCAAAACGACTGCATAACCTTTTGTTGTATGGGACGACATATCTGTTATCTACCTGGATCCCATTCTGTAGTGTATGGCGTGCAACACAATCTCTCTTATAATGTGGGTAACCCTCTTTGTCAAAGACTGTACAGTGTTGGAACGGTTTTGGATATTTTTTTTTTACATTTGTCATCTTTCATACATGGAGCATTAACATTTAGCAAATCACATGGACCATGGATCATACACGTTGTAACGGTGTGGTATAATAATGGTTCTGATGATGGATTTGGCAGCTCAGCAGTAACAAATGCATCAATGTCAGAAGGGGCTTGTATTTTATGTGATGCAGCGACCCACAACAGCGTATGACAATGAGGTAAGCCTCGCTTCTGGAATTCAATTGTGTACAGGTCTACAAAAAAATTATTGAAATTATTGCGAATTAATACAGAAGTGAAACAGAGAAAACTACAAAATATCTCTCTCTCTCTCTCTCACTCTCTCGCTCTCTCTTTCTTTATTATATATATATATATAATATATATATATATATATATATATATATATATATATATATATATACGACTTACGTGCTACGACAGGTCCAAATGTTTTGTCTTCTTTAAGAAATCTTATAAACGCCTTTACTTTCATGTGGAAAACACGTGAAATGATATCGGCTCTACTATGTACATCGTTTTGATTATGGACCAACATGAATCGTCTAATTTCTGGCCACTTCACATTGCATGTAAATGTGATAAAATATTGTGGATTCCCATGTTCTCTACAAATGGAGAGGGTATCTTGATAGTGGTTGTACATGTATCGGGGTCCACCGAAAAAGGATGGTGGCAAAAGCACACGTCTACCAATAGAAAGGCTTTCAGTATCTCCATTGCAAAATGCATCATAGATCCCACTGATGAAGTCAGATCTAAGATGTTCCTGATTATTTTGATAGAATTCAAGACGAGACTGTTCAATACATGTATAAGCATCGACTAAAAATTGCTGAAAAAATCTACATGAATTAAGTATAAGAGAGTGTATATTACAACGTGTGTGTATTTGATAACTATAGTACATGTTCACTGTTAAGTTTCTAGCTTTCGAACCGGATTCATTGAAAAGTTTCAGGCGTGGTGACCACCCGTCCTCACCATACGGGAAAAGCATAGGGTATTGCAGTGACATGTAACTTGGATGGAGCTTACTAACCCTCTATGCCCGACCACCCTTTGAATGTATAAGTATATTTTATCTACTACTGGCACAGTCATCACCAAAAATAATGCATCCCAAAGTACCATGTGTAGGAGGAGCATAGCGTCTATCCGGAACATCATTGAAAAGGCAAACCACATATTCATCTAAATTTCTTTCTTCAGCAATTGTTTGGCTGTTTTAAAGGTACGTACATATTCATTATGTAGTGTAAGTATAGTCATCAACGACTCAACAATTCTTGGATCCAAAGGTTGCTTCGTAGGATCCTGGAAAGCTGTCAGCCTATTAGACAACTCATGCTACGTGTCAACCATATATAACTTTAAAAACCTCGGAGGCTTACCATCATTATGGCAAAAACAACCTATAGAATGTGAGAGTTGACCAGATACCTTAAACACATAAGGCCTACCACCCCTGTTAATATCGTCATCGACCACAGCCCCAAAAGATGTCATAGAAAACATGCTATTGTAAGCTCTGACATTTTGCCTAAAAGAAGCACAACTATACAAATAAGATAATCGTGGAGGAGGCAGAAGAGGGTAAGGCAATATAACGGCACCAGACCTGCAGCATCGCATATAACACGGATGATCCTTTTTTGATAAATACAAAACCCTTTCAGCATACCAGAAAAACACAACACAAATTTGACAGACGAAAGTGCAATCACCCAGATCATCATAAACAGGAAAAGGTGAGGGTAAATTAACCGGAAGTAGCATAGCCAGGCGAGGAGAATATCCCCGTTTAGAAGCAGGTAAAGCCGACGAGGAAGCCCCCCGTTGGAAATCGGAACGGGAAGTGGAAGGAAGAGCCATGATGCAAAGGAAAACGAAAAACGCACAATATACAAGGAAGAACGGAAATAACAAACAACCGACGAGAAAGAAAGCACAAAAAAAGCAGCCATAAAACACAAACCTGAAGAAGCGATCGACAGAAGAAGGAGCAAAAAGAGTTGAGAAGTAGAAGGAAGGTTTGACCGAAGGTGAAGAAAAGTTTGACCTTTGTGGGAAAAACAAAT